GACGTAAAATCAACTTAAATTTATGACAATTTTACATCGAATATTAAAAAAATATTAATGAAAATTCAATTTTTAATTAATAAATTAATATTAAAAATAAATTAATATTAAATAAAAAAATTATAATTAAAAATTTAAATTTGAAAATAATTAATATATTAAAATACAAATTTAAATATAAAATGTTTTTAAAATTATAATTAATATACAAAGTGATATCAAAATATTCGAGGTTGAGGTCAACGTCCCGAGAAGGCTCTCGGTCATGTTCGCCCGAAGCCGCTGTACCGTCGTTTCTCGTCTGAACTATGAGAATCGAAATCTGACCCTAGGTCGTCTACTGGTCAGAAGATCCACAGGAAGAACCTCTCCAAGAATCTGTGACCGGTATTGCCTCTCTCAGATTGCGGTGGTCAACTGCAGAACCGCTGCCGCTATGCCATCGAAGAGCCAGTTAATCTCGGAGATCTCCTGCTTCTGGGCCACTTGCTCATCCCGTAAGCTTGTGATCTCAGCATTGGCTGTAGCAAGCTCCTGTCCCAGTTGACTCGGATCCTCGTACGTGCGGCTTCCCGAAGACGAGGCGACGTGACCGTCTCTAATAGAATCCATCCCTATGATGTGGTCTTTCTTCCTCGGAGCACCCTATAAATAAAAGTGAAAACGTTAGATCATAAATATATATACAGATAAGTATATAGTAATTAAATTAAAAAGAAATCATACCTCTTCGAAGATCTTGTCTTGTTCGAGGACGGTCAAAGCTACTTGGATAATACCGTCAGCTGTGACCTGGGTCTCCGGCTTGGCCATCCTCGTCATAGCTTCGTTGTAGATCTGCTCTGACCGAGCATATACAAAAGTCCCGTCTTTCTTCCGGCGAATGATTTCGAAGAGCTTCGTCATTAGAGGAAGCTCTCCTCCGTTCTCCTCCACCTACAACAAAAGGTTAAAACATTAGTAAATATATACAAAATATATTATATAAAAATATAAATGTAAATTTAAAATTAATTACCATTATCAGACGTCTTCCCGCAAACGGTATTTGGCCAGAAGTGTGCGGAGTCACTAACTTTTGATCGTCAGGACCGACCCGGTTTCGAACGCCCGAACACTTAACAGCTTCTTTTTGTGCATGTGGGTCCATCCAATACGCCTTCAACTCGTTCCAGCAGTAAGTGGACATCGAGCTCGGCTTTGCGTTGTCGCCGTCTATCTCCCACTTCCGCTTCCAGTCGGAAACGGTGTTGACAAGGCGTTTCTGCGTTTTCAGGCGGAACTGTGTCCGGACCTCCTCATTGATCGAGATGTCCCAGTTCCATTTTGCTGCAAAATAAACACTATAGTTGTTAAAACAATTTATATGTAATAAATTTTAAATAACTAGAATTAAGAAGGAGAAAAAGAGATGGAAAATTCCATAAAAATACACCAACTTAATTTCGATAAGCTCTTTAATACCTAAACTGTTTTTATACCCAAAAAAAACCCCAACAAATATAATATTTCATTAAAATACTTCAACTTTTTTAAATTCTACACATTTAACAGCCCCGAGTTAACGTAGAGATAACATCTGTTATCTTTCTATCTTTTTAATAATAAAATATTAATATTTAAATAAAAATTACATTAAATTTTAAAATATTCAAAAAAAACCTTAAAAATTCTAAAAAAAACAAAAAAAATCTACAAATTTACAAAGTTATGAAAAATAAGTTTAAGTTTTAAGTGTAAATACATTGGGTTATATTTAAACTGTTAAATTTTTTAAAATAAAATTCCAAGAAAATAAAAATCCAAAAAAATCTAAAGCAAAAAAAAGTTGTGTTTATCCCTAGTTAAACCATAATCAGTCATGGCCAAAAACATAATTTTCATTAACGTGAGGCGCCCTTACAAATTATAAATCCTAGAAAAACAGACATATTTATAATACAATTTAAGGGGTATTTTGGATTTTTTTTAATATAATTTCTCAATTTTTTATTTCAAAAATTCATAAATTGAAGAGCAATAATTTTATCTAAAACTTAAAATTATTTTTTTCTTAACTTTATATTTTTTTTGGAAATATTTTTGATTTGTTGGATTTTATTAGGATTTTAGAATTTAATGTAGTTTTTATGTAAATATTACTATTTTATTGTTAAAAAATAAAAAGATAACGGATGTTATCTCTCCGTTATTGTTAAATGGGTAAAATCTAAAAAGTTGAGGTATTTTAATGGAAAATTATATTTGTTGGGGTATTTTTATGGGTATGAAAATAGTTTGGGTATTAAAAAGCTTATCGAAATTAAGTTGGTGTATTTTTATGGAATTTTCCCAAAAGAGATTTATCGTGAAGCATTTGTACCAGGTGTCGAAAATGTCTTGCGATACCTTGCCCCAGTTGTAGTGAACCTCGACGAAATAGCTCTCAATTATGTGGGAAACACTCCGACAGACATAATTATCCAACCCAAACCTATAAAAAAAAAATGTAGTATATTATTAATTAAGTCAATGATTTATTTCAAATAATATGATCAAGAAAAATTACTTACCAATAAGAGTGTGTTACCGCTTTTTCGATGACCAGACGTCGTAAACCCTCTCGTCCTGGTAGGGCTAATAGATCCTCCACTGTATACCGGGCGGGGTTCGGGTGCCGGTGGTGGAGACGGTGGTGGAGACGTGGGTGGAGATTGCTCAGTCGCCGTGTTCGGAACTTGGGAGGCTCCGGAGAAAGACGGGATCTTGGTATTACCCGAGGCAGACATCCGAGAAAGAGAATGTCCATCCGCCATAAAGTTGATATAGTGGGTCTTCTGAGGAGGCATCATTTGCAAAAGACAAATACTAATTAAAATTATTTTCCGGACCTTATATCTAATTCCAAACCTAATTACAAACAAATTCTAAACTTAAACTAATTCCAAATCTAAATTAATTATAACTAATATTAATTATAATTATATATTAAAAAGTAGTAAAAAAAACGAAAAAGGAGAGAGGACGAGGAGGAGAGGACTTGGAGAAGAGGAGAGAAGGCAGAGGTAGAGAGAGAGGACTAGGAGGAATGAGCGATGAAGTGGAGAAGGGTACGTCCATATATATAGTTTTTATATTCGTCGTAAAGTGTCGTAAATCCGACACATAATATCCACCGATCCACAAATCATATAAGACAAACACACGTGGCTAACGATAGATTTACAACGATCCTAGCAAATCGTCGTAAATCTGTCGTAATGTTACGAATACCCCTATTTTCTCTTCATCAGCAGCTGCCGTAACTTGGGTTCATCACACTAACCAGCTGAGTTCGTTGGCTAGTTTTGATCACCCCGAATTCGATTTCTCATGCGAGACAGAGGTAGACAAGATAAAGGTCAATTGCGGGTTAACTATTTATTTGATTTGAAAGACCAGGCTATTCCGCTCGCTCTCAGGAGCTTGAGTACACTGTTCGTTCAACTCGCTTGAAGGAAACTAGACTTCCTTAAAAAGAAAAACTTGCTTCGCTCCCTTCGCACTCGTTTACCGCTGCTCTTCGAATAACCAAACCATGTCTACAAAATGCCAGTACCATGCAGCTGCTTCAAAGCCAACATGATGCTCCTTCGTCAGATGACCAAGATATTTCTGAATACCACATATAATCAAGAAAAGAGTACCTATAATCACATGAAAACCATGAAAGCCTGTTGCTAAGAAAAAGGTAGAACCATAAATACTATCCGAAATAGTGATGGTTGCAAACTTGTCATCACCTCAATCTTCGCTTGGTCAACGAATTTCTTACTTGTTTGAACAGTATTCTAAAGACACGTCTTACGAAAAACGGATTTCATTTTTTGAGAAAATTATTAAGTGGGATTCTGAAACGTATAATTACAGCTTATACTTTTAACGGCGAACTCTCGCAATAAGCTCTAATTTCTTTAATATCGTCACAACAAGAAAGGGACTACAGCCAGAGCTAGCGTGGTACTAGACAAACATCGAAAGGATTGGTTTTATTGATGATTTTGGAAAACTGGTGGAAATCAACAAAATCCATATTGACCCGAGTATAATCCGTTGATTTCAAGTAATCTCTATGAAATATCTTCTTTTACATTATACTATGAATAAAATCTTCCATACCAAACTTGGATACCTCGATCCTGACTAAATACATTATACTTTTGAATGAAAGCTCCAGGGGAGGAGAGAGCCATGAGATGTATCACAGAGTTCCAAAGAAGTAAGCATGACATTTGGAACTGAAACCTATCATACATTATGTGCATTTCCAATAAATTCATCAACAACCATCTTTTGTTAATCATACTGGTGAATCTTTTTTATCCATTTTTTGATGTATTCTAACCGGTTATGAATAACTACAGTGTTTGTTTCTGAATAAGTTTTTTACATGATGATAAAGTAAAAGCTGCTTACTTGATCGATTTTGATTCATACATATCGGACACTTGTCAGGTTTATCCCCATTTTCACTTGATTTTCTTTTGATGTCAGATGGTGCCTAGTGACCAACTAGGTTGACGTGGATTCTTTCAGATTTTAGATTAATACCTAAATTTAATAATTTATCATTTTCGTTTTAATTTTCTTTGGTTTATAACATTAAATTTTGTTTTTTTGATTTTTTGAATTTTTACCGCCTACACAAAATACGGACTAAACATCTAGTGATTATAAATAAGAGTATTATAGACTTGTAATTTTGGTTGCATTTCTACACCAAACTCTAATTTTAAGTGCATCCAAAATATCCACTTTTATTTTGGATGCAATTCATTTTGTATCCAGTTTTTACTTCCAAATGCACTCTTAATTAGACAAAAACGAACTGCATCTCATATATGCATCTACACGCAGTTGCTGGATAATCAAAAGAACCTAACTTGACGTCGACGGTCGACGCAAATACATAGAATATGAACTAGTACAGATTCAAACTTTCTAAGCATCGGTATTAGTTTTGGTTACACCAAACAATCGTATAAAAAAAAATCTATGTGAAATTTCTTTAAAGTCACCCAAATATTACGTGTTTGTACAAATTATCACCACCATCAACGTTAGAATAACTCATAACTGGATATGGATATCTCGCCACCTGTGGTTTCTCCTCCATTGCAATAACCTTATCAGAGTTTCGATACCACGGTGATACGTATGGACTAGAAGTAGAAGATATATTTGATGATGAAGCATCGACAATAACCGAACCCCATTCACGTTCACCGGTAGCTTCGGTTATCCTTTTCCTTACCAGTAATTGACCAACGTCTTCTCTTCTCTTCTGTGTTACACTCCTTAGAAGTGATACAGACAATAGCAAGACGAAAACCGCGTCTTCCTCAGGCAAAAACTCCACAGCTTGATGCTTCCAATCGATCAGAGCCGTAGCTTTTTCTGTTGGATCTTCTTCAGTGGATCTAACCATTGTTACAAAACCTTCGTCGTCTTCTTCGTTGTCTCCTTTATATTGCATTCTCCGTCCAGTTAATAGCCTAACCTATACAAAATCCACCACCAAAAATTTCAAAAAGCTGTTTAGAAAACGCAAACAAAAGACTCTTGAATCTTGAAAATCTACCAGTGAACCGGGGTTTCTTGAACGTAAACCAAGCTCTGAGATAGATCCTGATGAGTTCCAACGAATGAGCAATTCATCTCCAGTTGAAAATTCCCACGCAGATTCCCAATTCTCCACCGCTTCTTTAGGAATTACGGTTCCAACCACCTTTGCTGTACTAGACGAGCAAACACAATGATCGGTACAGTTGCTAAAGACTGTGATTGTACTATGTTTTTTTTTTTTTTTTGCGTTTTGCATGTTTCATAAGAAAACTTCACTTTCTTAGAAAACAGAACAGTTTTTCAGTTTATATGTAAATGCAAACGTTAAAACACACGTCTAAGCTAATTTACCTGGAGCTTTACCAATTGAGCCCTCCACATAAGACCAAGAACCTACCCGTATCTCTGTTATCCTCTCCTCTGATTTCACCGGGGATGGAACTTCACTTCCACGTTTAAACACTCCTTTCCCGACTCTAAACCAAAACTATAATTAGAATAAACAATCCGGGTTTCATGAGTGAAGAAAGATAGAGCGGTTTACCGGATCCGGATTACGAAGCATTCCCGTCCAGCGTGATCAAGAACAGTTCGAGTAAGCCATCTTCCTTCTTGAGGCCTGAAGTTGTTTGTTCTTTGAATTGAATCAGATATCATAGCACCTGAATCATCGGTAGCTCGATCCGGTACAAATCTCAGCAAGTACGGCGCTTGAACCGGGGGAGTAACCGATGCAAACACACTTACTTGCTTCCCAAGAAACCTACCCAACGATAGAGAATGCGCTCTTAGCAGATCATTCCACAGAAACGCTATCATCCCTTCTGGTTTCCGGCTTCTAAAGCAAATCCCACGTGGACGATCACAATGAGATTCCAAAACTACCCCTTGTGTTCCAAACTCGCAGTAAAGATGCCAACCTTTCTCCCACGAACCATCACGGGACAAATTAGTCATTTTCTTATCAAGTTGAAGCTTCCGATGACATCTACCTACTCTCAAACGAAGAAAACTTGACTCGTTTAACTCTGCCTTCGGGTTTAGCCTTATAAATATACATAACTGCACAGGAAAAAAGAAGAATCATTTCAGATTGTGAAATCTATTACTTCAGAGTCAAGTCATTACAAATTGTCTTACTTACTTCCAAGACGAACCTAGGTCGAATGGACTTATACGAAGTGTTAACGTCTACATCAGAGACAGGCCAATAAAACACTGTGTTGTTACAGAGACGAGACTCATTCGGTATCACAGTCAACTCGCCGCCTGCTTTCTCATACGGTTGATTGAAGTATCTATTCCAAAGTTTCTTTGTTGTTTCCACTTCACTTTTCTCTACGGTTTCTCCATATCTTACCACTTTTCTCATAATCTCTTCCAACATTTCATCAACATCCTCTGTATATATAGTCGGGTAGCTCTGTAAAACATCATTCTTCAATTCAACTACCACAAGAGACGATTAAAGAAACCAAGAAAATGGTAACTTACAACGGACCTGATGTGTGAGCCACATAAGCAATATATCTGAAGCTGGAAGAAGACGCGTAATCTCTTCCTTGAACTTGTGTAGTATAAGCAAGAACCCTTTGTAACGTAACCGAGCAGCGATCAAGTAAACGGATTCAGACATGTAAGGTGCTGAAAACTTCTCCCAGAGAAATCTCTGTTTCTCTACTTCAGTTTTAATATCTTCATTGGATGATGAAACAGGCTCTGGAGAATCAGGATCAGCTCTATTCTCGAAACTCTCCTCTGGGTATCTCGTGACCCAGATTTTCTCGCATTGTAAAACCGCGTAATCCTCGTTCTCTTCATCATAAATCGCAGGTTTCCCTATAAGTTTCGAAAATTTCTTAAGACAGTAATCCCTGTAACTTACCTGACAAAAAAATGGATTAAACTATGATATCAGATATAATCAAAATATTTGAAATCTACGAAGATAGCTTTGGATCCTAATAGAGAATATAGATTCACAAGAAAAATGGTGCAAAATCTGTTACACACGATTATAGTGTCATGTGTTTGTTTGATTCTTAAGAAGAAAGAAGTATTGATCGTTTGTGGGTTTATAAGTAGTGATTGTTATGTCAAAAACATAACTAGAGAATCTGAAGCATCATTAATAGTAAGCGTTTTACAAAAAACTTCATTTAGTGAAAAATATTTTCTCTATTTGGCTATTACATTATTCAAATTTTACATATGCAATCCAAGATCTCTGTTTCTTGATTTCCAAAATTTACCCCGGTTATAAAAAAAAGATATAAGAATCTCAAAGTTTGGGAATCAGAGCTTACTGGATTCAAAGAATGACAAAACCAAACCCATTCAACATCAAGAGGAGGTAGAATCATCGGAGGCTTCGAACCAACCGTTAGATCAGAAATCAACGGCATCCACAGCTCATCGTACCTTAAAAGAACACAAAGAAGAAGTGACATTTAATGCTAATAACAATCTAGACACAACTTTAAATATGTGACTTTCGGATCAGAATAGTCAAAGCTCACATGAATAAATTGGAATTCGAATCATACAATCTAAAATTTTCGGGACCAAAGTAGATTCTCGTCGGGAGAGAAAATTTGTTTTGTGAGATACTAAAAATAGCAAAAAAATGGAACAGATGAATCTTGACCGTCCGATCAAAATTCAGGAGAAAGGGAAAGATATAATTTTTCACCTTCTGATAGCTTCGGCAATGACCGGTGGATGATGCAGCCATTGACAGTCTCCGACGGATCTTAAGAGCGAGATGAGACGTCTCGCCGCGGATACAATATCAGCTCCGATTCTTACGGCATCAACCTCCGAGATCTCGCTTAAGCTCCGTGCCGCTACGCCGTCGGCGAACTCCGATCGTCCTAACGACATAGCTCAAAGAGAGAGGAGTGAGAAAGAGTATCAGAGAGAGTAAGATAGTATTTAAAGACAAGACATTGACATTAGATTGGAGGTTTTTTTTGTCGAATGAAGAGACAGAAATTGGCGTGTAGAGAGAGAGAGATGTGAAAGAATAAAGTGGACTCCAAGTGACCAACAACAATTTGTTTTTTTTTTTATTAACTAAAATGACATAGAAGTGAGCAAACAATTATGTTCTTCACCACTATTTCCATTTTAAATAATTTTTGGTGTTAATTATTATATCTATACTATTATTTGCGAACTCAGAAATTTTATAGATTGTTTTCACAACGATTCGTTTACGTGTCATTATTAAAAAAAATTATGTAGTATTTTAATTAGTTTTGATAAGACAATCATTAATCTATGTATTAATATATATGACATGACATTTTTTCATCGATTATGGGCAATCGAGTTTGTTCATGACCCAACAATTTTGTTCGCGATCATAGCTATCGAATCTGTAAATGGACCACCAACATAAAAACCCTAAACCCTAAAGCATTTATCCTACTATATAAATACATGTATCATCTACATATATTTTTTTAACATACAACAACCGTCACCATCTTCTTAGGTCGTGTTCTTTTTCTTTATTGTTCGTAAACGTCTTTTTATATATTCATGTTCGTAAAAACATGTTTAGAAAATGTACAATCATATTTCATATGTAATTACATTTAGGAGTAATCAGTTATTGTTCGTAAATATAGATTGACCTGAGCTTCTTTATTGTTTTTCCTTAAACCTAGAATTCATCCCGCAAACTATAGCTGATTGGCTCGAACTTTTGGAATCATATCTTCCAATAGATCTAACAGGTAATTGTAAATAATAATTATTGTTAATTAGTTTTTTACAAATTTAAAGTGTGTAAAAATAGTTAACTTGTTATATTATTCTACTCCCAAATTCTCTAATTTATTATTTTGATCTCTCTAATTTATTATATTGATCTTTTTGGTAGGGAATCATGTTTTACCTTACCATCTCCCTTCGTCACAAATTATGTTGTCTAACAATGATAACTAAAAAAAAAATGAAAATCATAACAATTTTTTTGACTTGGATGGAATGCAATCAAGTGTCTTGTCTCAAGAGGCACATTTGCTATTTTATACCGAGTTTCCATCCAAATGGGTTTGACATCCTAAAATCCAACAATGGAACCTCGTATGAGAGGTACCTCCCGATATTGTGTCCTAGAGCCATGTCTCGAGCAGGCTGGAAAAGAAAGCCGAGCAAAGTCGAGACAAGGATTGCAGAGGTATTATCTTAAGACACCGATATTGCTTAAGCCTTAGTTAAATTAAAGAGAGAGAGATTCCTACACTAGGGCAATCAAATTATATTGTTGCTGAAGATTAGATCAGAGGACTTTTTGGATGGCACTTGTATAATCCAAGCAAGAGCAACCAATGCATAAAATAAATATAATTCTAGATCGGTTACTCTCGCGATGGCCACACCTAGGGATACCACAGCTAATGCCACACTTTTTGAAAGAACAAACTCTAAAACAAGGTTAAAACAAAAAACATGTCATGAGAGTTTTTAATTAATCAGGTGAAATTTCACAAAAAACCAGCACAACGTTTTGGAAGAAATGGTTTTTTTTTTAAGAGAACAAACTCTGCAAGGGCATATGTTTGTGTCACCGTGATTTTAGCCATTTGATAGAATCCAACTGGACAAAAACAAAAGCTTTCAAGTGTGGGATAAGAATATTAAACAGAGCACAATCTTTTTATCTCTTCAATGTCTGAACTTCGATCTACATAGTTTGATTAATGCTATCAAAGGTCAATTTACAGCATGAGCTATGAATCTGGATGTAATCATTACAGATTGAGCTATAAACCTGTTGTGTTTGAGGCTGGTATTAGTGAGACCAGAAGCAAAGGTCATGACAGCTTTAAAAGAGAAGAGAGAGGAGTATGGTGTTGTCTTTGATGTAGGAGACATTGGAAGTAATTAGAGAGACTTTAAGAAAACTAGAAGTATCCAAGCAAAGGAATGTGAATCAATCATTTTTTATAAAAATATTTTTGATACTTTGGTGGATCCTATATTTATTTCGTATTTTGAGATAGTATAGCTGAGAATTGTGACATGAAAGAACTCTCCTTTTAGAAGATGTCTCTCTGTAGGGTATTTCAGAAGGACCATTTTTATAAAAGCCAATTTAGTGTAGACTTGGATCTTTGGAAAATTACATTGATTCCAAGAGAGTTAATCATATGTGTTGGATTGGATCTTGTAATCTCTTATGATATTGTACTATCACTGAGTGCTTTATACGCTAACAAATACTAACTCAAACTAGAATTTGATGCAAATATATAAAAAGTGCTCAACTTCAAATGAAACAACTTAGTTCCATTTGTAGAAAACGAAAGTTGGAATATTTGTGACATGAATCACATTTTGGAGTTAACTTTAATTTTGTTTTTAATTGTTCACAATTATGAAAGAATCTGATGTTTTCAGCAGCAAACAAAAATGGATATCATATTATGAGGGGGTAATTAGTGAACAATGTAAGTATTAGTAAGTATGTGAAACATAAGTCTCTACGAAATGGTCCTTGCTTTGTGTCACTTCTCCGGCTACATTTACCTTTTATGAAGCTGAAGAAGAAGAAAAACATAGTGAATGTCCATTTAGTTGTTTTAATGTTACATGTGTAATGGCATGTGGTTCTTTTTCTTTGATGCGGCTAATTTGCTTTCATTTTTAGGGTTTTCATGTTCTGCTATACCATCTTCCTTAAATGCTGATTTATTTTTCTGACTATACATTGTATATATTTGGATAGTCCGAATCGACCGAGAAATTTTTTTTTCTCGGCTGGAGTGTAATCGTGTGTTTCTTGAAGCTTATATATATCCATTATTCAGAAATACCTTATAAGTTTATTTGGAATTGTAAAGATGGCTGACGTTCGGATGGAAAAGCTAATTGATTAGTATAGTGGAAGAATAAAAGCTAATTGTTTTGTCGAATGGAAGAATAAAAACATGGATGGATATAAAGATGGGAAAGACAAAGATGAGCATGAAGAAGAAGAAAGAGGGAGATAATTAGAAGAATAAAAACCGGTATAAGAAGACAAAGAAAAACTCTAAGACCAAAAAAAAATCGTAAGAAAAGAAGAAGACGATGAAGGAAGATAAAGAAGAAGTCGAAGATGATGAAGTAAAAGAAAGATTGGAAGGTGAAGGAGAAGGTTACAAATCAGAAGAAGAAGAAGACAATGAAGGAAAATGAAGAAGAGAACCCGGAGGAATAATAAGCTGGAGAAGACAAAGACGAGGAATAAGTAATTTTGAAAGATATATATAGAAGAGGAATAAAAAAAAGAAGAATCCAAAATAGATGAAGAAGAAGTTGGAAAACACGATATGACGAAGAAAAAACAAAATTAAAAAACCAGAAAAGTAATAAGAAGACAGATGAGATGAATATGTTGAAGTAGAAAAAGGCGAAGTAAAAGTAAAAGAAAATTGGATAGAACACGATTTGGAAGAAGGATAAGACAGGGAAAAATAAACATGGATGAAGTAAGAGTACAAAGAAGGCCAGAAGATGAAAAATAGGAAGTTGAAGAAGGTAAAGATGAAGAATGAGACAAAGAAAAACCATAAAGAAGTCATAGAATATGAAGAAGACAACAATAATGAAGAAGGAGAACTAAGCAGAAGAGATATAAACCAGAAAGAAAAAGAAGAAGAAGATGCCGGAGAAGACGTAAATGATGAAGAATTTAAATTCTATGAAAAAGATGAAGAAAAAAGGAAGCAGAAGAATACAACAGGGAAAAAGATGAAGAAAAAAATAGAAAGAGAAATAAGAAGTCAGAGAAGTCAAAGATCATAAGAAAAAAAAAAGTGAAAGACAATAGAGAAAATGTTAAAAGTGAGAAAGAACATAATTTAACGATTCTTTATCCTTAGATATTCTTAATCGGAGATAACATATATTGAATAATAGTTTATATATATAATAAAAAACTATATTGTAGTCTATATAATAATTATATTTTTAATGCATTATTTTTTTCAAATTTAAATCTACAATTTTAATAAGTGATTGCATGCTTGCTTAGGAGAAATATAAGAGCCGATAAGAAGGAAAGACAATTCTGGCGAAACGGGAAGAGAGTTCCAACGATGAAGAGAGATAGTCGTTTGTAATTACAATGTTTGAGACAATAAAACATTATTTATTAAATTATCGAGCAATATGAATTTCATTTGTCGATGATACGATCATATGAGAAACACTGCGTACAATCATATGTAGATAAAGATAAAGATTGAGTGTGTGTAAAAAAATTTCATATAAGCAATAAACTTAGTTGTTGCCGATGAGCATGAAGCATTTTTGGTGTCTTATTAATAATGTTGGCAGAAAACATTTTATTTTAAAAAATAAGTATATTATGAGAAAAATGAGTAATCAAAACTCTTGATACTTTTTATGTTATCGTATTATATATTTGATTTTTAGCGAATGACTTAACTAACTTCAGAATCGAAATAAAATTTACTGAGAAGAATAATTTTTAAAAAAATATTGGTATATTTAGATAATAGCTACTGAAAAATCTAATTAAAAAAAAAAATCAGAAGAAGATGTCTGAGAAAAAAACTAATACATAGTAGATAAAGTGGAAAATGATGATATTTCTGATCAGAATCTTCTTCTTAATGTGCCGCCTAATAGATTATTCGTGTTATTGATAAGTATAAATTTTTTAGCTATGAAGATAATGATATTTCTGATCAAGATCTTCTTCTCGATGTGTAACCCAATGGATCACTCCCTTAAGCAGAATTTCTTCACATGCCGCTCAATGGATCATTTCCTCAAGCAGAATTTCTTCGCATGACATGAAAAGAAGCAAAAGTTTCTCAAAATTATACTTATTAGTGTTTGATTTCTACAAATTTTGTAATTAGTTTTGTATACATCGCATGCCCGCGCTATGCGCAGAACTCCACCTAATTTTAAAATATATATAAAAACCGACAATTAAAAAAATGGAATCATGAC